TATGGCATACTATAGCATATATGCTCAAGATGATGATGATGATAAATACTTGATGTCATACATAATCATTATGATTGTTCTTGATGATGATTTCATGCTGCATGAAACTAACGTGCAAGGACGACCATTGCGCTTTGAGAATCGCCCATTTGATACAACGAACTCACGCCACCTTAGTCTCATGTCGGACTAGTAAATCTCGCACAATCACGCTATAGGAGACGCACGAGGCATGATCTCTTATGCATGCATATGATGTGATATGCTTCAATATGAATGATGGAATGAATCATATGATATGAAGAATTTGCAAATAATATGAATATATAATCATGCATTAGTTTATTGAGATGCAACATGTTCAAAATATCATTTAAGTAAGCTACGGGGCTCAGAACGGTCGACCGTTTGGCACGGCGGTCGACCGTGCTTGAATTCATCTCTTTGGATTCCAGATCACCGTGACGATCGACCGTGGTCGACCGGCGGTCGACCGTTGTTGACTGGCTGAAAGTAGCGGCGTTTGGCTGGGCTTGCGACAGTCGACCGTTTGATGGCGGCGGTTGACCGTTCGGTTAAGAGTAGTAGTCCGTTTCGAAGTTTAATTCGACGGTCGGTCGTTTGCATCGACCGTTCGGGTCTACAAATCTTATTTTTGATATTTTTGGGTATCTAAAATACTTCTTTAATTCATTTTAACACCTATGATTAACATATCTATGTATTTGAAAGATTTCTAACAATTTTATGTATCTATGTATGGAAAATATTAACAAATACATATTTTAACTTTGTGCGTTTGATAAGTTTGTTCTTAAACATAGATGACTTATAATATGACAATCAATCCTAATGATATATCTAGATTGATATTCAACCAAGGATTGCGTTACTAGGGTCCAATGTACTCGCCTTGATATTGTAGAAGATGGTAGTGATAGAAAATGATAATACGCCCCAACGAATGTTCAACGTACGGTCACCCCTATCAACTTCGAGCTTCCGACGCTCAACCTTCTTTAAAATAACCTCTAAAAGTTCCTAATAACCATTAGAGAGTTGACGGTAAGCGTTTGGAAAGAAACGATATGAATATGGTAAAGAAACATAACAAACCCGAGGAGCTCGCCACCACTGGCGCAGTCCTGGTATTTTGGTCATATCTCCTTCGTTACTTAACGAAATCACGAACCGTTTGTTGGGTTGGATTTGTAACGTCTGGAGATATAATTTCGTTAGAATAAGTATTTCGATAAAATGGATAGAAAAATACATAATTGACGAAAAAGTTGCTGCTGTGTTTTGAACTCAGGATTTTGGGAAACTTTGATACTTCTTCTCTCTCCTTCTTCTTCTTGGGCACAACAAAGGAGATAAATGGAGCTGGTTTTCTTCCTTCCTGGATTGCCGACAGTGAGAGAGATATGGATAGGGATTATGAGTGATTTGTGGAAAAATAATGGTGGTGATTGTGAGAAATTTGGAGTGATATATAGGTAAAAATTGGAGTTATTAGGTAGTGGAGGAGTTAGTGGGTTTTGGGTGGCTAATTGAAGGATTTGGAAGATATGGCTCCGTGATTGAAGAAATTTGGAGATTTAAAATATTCTCCTACTACGTAACTAATAAACTGGCTAAAACGGTACGTACTTTTTCGCCCAAACTGTTTCGAATTGAAAACGGATCACATTTTTGGAATCAGATTGTCAAAACTAAAATTTTGATATAATTAAAATATTTTTCTGAAAACTTTTATTTTTCAGTGTTCGGGTCTTTCTTAGTTATTAATTAATATTTAAATTAATTAATTATTTTAGGCCTAATTTCGGGGCGTTACATGAAGTACATCCAACATGCTCACTAAAATAGCTAGGACTCATTACTTGCTAGAGTAAAGCACCGTAACTCTAATGAACATGGAATTAAAACAATATCAATTTCTAAAGGTAAAGCTAAACATTAAAACCACAAAGAAATAAAACCACACTTCATAAAAGTCATTACCATTGAATCATGCACTTGAACAATTGACGATGAAGGCAAGTGAGGATACGTAGGAATTACTCCATACATTGGAGTAGAATAAAATCCATGAGGTGACGAAGACATGTTGAATGTTGTGTTATTATGGAGAGCTATCATATTCAATCCCTAGTGTACTGACGGAAAGGGTAAGACCTGTTTTGGGAGTATTTTTTCTAGATCTTCAAGAGCAATAACATTTCTTATATCATTACTCGAAAACTTCCGTGAGGATCTATCACTCTTGCACTTTAATGGCTGTAACAGTTGATAAAGGAAAATAGTGCAACTTTAAACCTTACAAATACTAAAAAAGCAATAAAATACACCTTTCTTTCCTCGGTCTGAATAGGCTTCTTATCTGTGTGCTTCACATTTTCAGTGTAGCTTTGACTAAATAATGATTCTTCATCCTATTAAAATAATCATTAAAATATATGGAGTCAGATTTTTTGGCATAATAAACATGAAAAAAATTAAAAGGCTCAACGAAGAGAGGTAAATCACATTATCTTTTGAGTCATGAAAAAAGAGATATTGTCATCATCATCCATAGATAACAAAAGAGGACATGTAAGTATCTTGTGACCTTTATTCTTACAGGCAGAGCAATGCACATCTTTTTTCTTGGATATTTTCCTTTTTGAAGAGCGACTAGTGTTTACGAGAATTGGATCACAAACATCA